AAGAAGTTGAAGTTGTGAGCATTATTGTGGTAACACAGCCATATGTATATATCAATGTATGTCAGTAGAATCATGTTTATAGGCTTTATATATAACTGAGGCCTTATACAAGTCATATCTTATACAAAAGTCAGTTGATATGCTATATTACATGTAATTGCTGATAAGTCCATATATGCAGACAACAATCCACACTGGGTAGCTCTAGGAATCTTGTTAAGCCTGATTTAACAACATCCCGCGTTTGTTTTAAAACTATAAACATTTAGAAATAGAACGTACCGAACACTATTATATACTCACCGCCTTTGGCTTTGCACATATTAAGTGACATAACAAACAAATAAACTAAAAGTTCATTTGCTTCTTGTATCAGCATAAAGGCATTAATCATTACTGTCGATTTGGTCGGGAATAGATCAGTGATTCAGTGGGTATTATAATTGCCGATATATTCTTGAAATCATTTTGTTTCAATGCCTCTATATCGAAGTTTAATACACTAAAGGGACTAAACAAGTATAAACAGCAGATTTAAATATAAATGCCTTCATGTATTATAAAATATATCACCAGACAGGTAGACAGGGCACACGGCACGACTACATCACTATACGAGAACGAAATAAAGCCATCCTTACCTGAATTATTCAAAATATTTTCGATCATTCTTGCGCCAGAGACACAAAATAACACCGTGCTTTATTTACCCATTCATCTTCACAAATATTACTCGGAATTTTTATGGAAATTCGCATTATTTTATGATTTCTATATTTCTGTCCGTTTATAACAGTCGCCATGTTGTGAACAAACCCCCCCCGGGAACAAAAAAATAATATCAAAACAGCTAGTTTTGGCCCGTCCGTGGATGACAGAATGACATAAATCGAGATTGTAGCGGCTATAAACTCGGCGGTCACGTGGTAAGCACACCACGTGTAGAGATTAGTGTGCTGCCGAGCTACGCTCGGCAGCAACTATATCAGTACTATACACGAACTTTTATCGATGGATAATTTTGCGAGTTTTCATCCAATTCAATCATATATATGCTCAAAATCTTCGCGGTAAGTTTCTCTTTACCATAAAATGTGACCGAATAAGTTTCAAAACAATGCGACGGCAAAAAATGTAAAAATCCTGATTTTCGTAATAGAATTTATAGTCTTTTTGCCCTGTTGTACCGCCATCTTGGATTTATCATGTAGGCCCCGCCTGCGCTAGGTATGCGTTAGCAATCTAGATCTCCTATATCTATGGCGATGACTACTAGGACCAGCATTCCTCGCGGGCATCAAGCCTCGTGGCGTCATTATGCATAAGGTCTATTATTTGCATAGCAATAACAGGTCGTAGGTTCGATTCCACCGTGGGTTTGATTCCCACCGTCGTAGGTTCAATTCCCACTGTCCGTAGGTTTAGATTCCCATCGTCGTGGGTTAGATTCCCACTGTCGTAGGTTCGATTTCCACAAGGGTCGTAGGTTCGATTCCCACCGTGGTCAGGCATATTTTCCAAGCTTACCCGGTGTGGATATACACTCAGAGTAACATCACAAGCATAAACATTTTGTTGCTTCCTGCTCTTAGACGAAATAGCTAAATGGGAACATGGGCAATTTCGCGGTAATTTTCTGGTCACATGACTGCGTGACAAAGGCTTTTATCAGTGGCTTTTATTTACGATTTTCGTTTAACACGTGGGCTGTATACCTCGAAAATGTAAGACATTTTGTATCGCTTAATTTGAAAACAATTTTCCAGTGGCAATGTGTACCACGCGCTCTCTTGGCTCCGTTAAAAATTTAGACTGGTTCAGATTCGTTTATCGCCTAATTAAACCTCTAAAGCCAGTTTTCCACTTCAATCGTACCAAAACGCAACGTATTTCTTTGTTTCCTGAGCGGTAGTGTGGAACTAATGACTTGGACACAAAAGAAAATGCTACGGTACGTTACGATACGGTTGAAGTGGAAAACCGGCTTAAGTCACTAAGCGGCTGTTTATATGAGGCGAGCCAGCTCGGGTACCCGAGCTAGCTCGCTTTAGGCGGGATCCCGTCTTTGTCAATATTTCCTACTAATACATCTCGGGGATGCGAGTTAGCTTGGGTACCCAGGCTGGCTCGCTTCCATATAAACAGCCCCTAAGACATTTCTTTGACTTTGTTTCAAGAACAATAGGATTAATGCTATAACGATAAGCATTGAATAAATAAAGATGTCTCTTCATGCACTACATACATTCCAAGTTAAAAGTTACACCACTTTCACGCAGTTTTTAAGTGGGGCGGAATACGCGGGGGCATTGTCCGCGACTATGAAATGGAAATATAGCGCTATGAAATATTTAGGATTGGTCAAAAACTTGAGCGGTCAAAAACTTACACGACGTATATAAACGATATATTTTCCGTCGCCTACTCGTGAAGCTAAAGTCAACCATAGTTAATACTAATAGAATAGATGGTTTGGAAACTCATTAGAATAACAATATAACTCATTATCTATATTAGTCAACGTTTATTCATAAATCTGGTCGTTCACATTGCTATTGGTTAGTTGGGTAACACGTGACGGTGAACGACCAGATTTATGAATAAACGTTGACTGACATAGATAATGAGTTATATTGTTACTCTAATGAGTTTCCAAACTATCTATTCTATTAACTATGAGTCAACACAAACACTTAGGGCGCTTTCCATTTAAGGGCCTGACCGGTCAGATCCGAATACTTTTCTCTGTATCAATGGAAAGATCTGGTCTATGTTTCTCAAATATCTAGCAAAAATGGACCTCATTCTGATGTTATCTAAATTTTCTGGTAAGATAGGTCGAATGTTTTGTGTTCCATTCAATAATTTGACCGGTCTGGCCGTGTTAATGGAAAGCGCCTTTAGAAAGCGTTCTGATTCCTTATGATATGATCATATGGCTAGGCTGAAACGACTTTAAATTGGGGGCGAAACGACTTTGGATTGGGGGCGAAACGACTTTTAGTTGGGGGCGAAGCGAACAGTCTCCCCTCTGGCATCGGCGAAGCAAGACAAACGTTTGCTATTTCTCAGCCAATTTTCATCCAAATTTAACCATTATTTAATCCACTCGTCCTTGGGCAATGTCCATTAGTTCCACTAATTTTCATATTCATACGTTGATGTTTTTTACACTGTGTCTATCATAATAAAAATAACTCCTATATCATGCTTGTGATGTTACTCTGACGGTGTATATCCACACCGGGCAACCTTGAAAAATATGCCTGTCCACGGTGGGTATCGAACCTACGACCTTTCGAATACTAGCCCAATGCTTTACCAACTTAGCTCCTATATCAATTTAGCAATATAAAAAGGCTATTTTGCAATGAATTTCAGCGAGCTGGTTAGCGCAGTGGCAAAACCATGCGCCTTATAAGTATAGTGTACTCGGAAAATTATAGACGAAGCCTATGGCCATGCCCAAGGGTAGTGCATGTAAACTTCAGATCGGCTTAATGCATGTTGATAATGCAGCACATCCTCTTTAGTTATTTCGCATTCAGTGTACACAGGCTATTTCGGTCTTAAGATGGAAATATTTCAACCCACCTTATAGTTAGCTTCGCAAGAATAAGGGTCATTTTTGAGAATAGGGAAAACGTTGCAAGCCAGCTTTCGTGGAAATTTCGTTTGCAAGTTGGTATCATTGGCAAAGCTAGAGCAATTGAACAACGAGTCCCGATAAGTCGCGTTTAAACTGGAACAGCCTTTTCTGCCTTCGTCACATGAAGCTTCTAACTCCTTGAGATCAATCTCGACATACGCATCTTTGCAACGAAATGGATATGCTATTTGGCAAAAGTATTTCGTTCCGGCTTTACTGCATTTCTCGCCATGTAAACCAAAAACACTGACAATGGAAGGAATATTGTTCCTGACTGTTGAAAGATCGGGGGGATTTGGAAAGTTGCTGAAATCTGGTATCTTGTAGCCTAACGAACCCGAACACGTAGAAATGGCGCTCGATGGATCTTTACATGGAATATATGGCAGCTCAACCACGATGTAAGCGTTTTCTGCCGCCAAGGTTGTATCGACTGCGAAACAAATGTAAAGGATTACCACTGAACTGATGATCGAATACATGTTTGTGTTGAAATGGTCGATATGCCTTCTGAGAAGACGTTGGAACACTCAGCTAGTGTGTTTTGGTCAATGCCGGTTTGACACACCTTGTTGTCTGAATTGAAACTGCTATCAGCTGGTGCAACGACGCTTCTACTTATATATTGTCCACAATGTGATTGCAATCAATCTTGTTTTGCATAATTATTAATCTGTACAGGGTGTATAAAAAAAAACGCAACCTCGGAATTTCCTAAGAAATCACGGTGCAATTCTTAAGCATAAAAGAGTTTAGGTCGCTGGGAATTGAAATCGAATTGCTAATAGATCATATTACTGTTGTTGTGATTAAATAAATGCATAAATTTTGCTTTATGCACTCGCGTGTGCAGTAATTTTGACAGTTGTGCTATTTTAAATTCCCAGGCGCCTAAAATCTTTTGTCTTTAAAACAATATCGATTTCTTGGGAAATTCCGAGGTTGCGCTTTTTTTGATACACCCTGTATGTGTTAATATATTCCACACTATTGTCCATATAACTATATATGGACATATATTCCCCAGTTATCACAAAAATATAGTCATGCATTATGTTTCCGTGACAGCACTAATGGGCGGTATGTATATGCTCGATCCCTCGGGATTCAAGGAACATGATTTATTTACCCACGGTAAAACTCATCAGGTAATATTAACACATACAGTGTGTCCCCAAAAAAAGGCTACCCTTTGAAGTCAAGCGCTAGTGCCGCATGTTCGAATTTGAATGCTTTAACTCCCTAATGAGCCCTGGAATGCGTAAAACGTTATACAGGGTGTATAAAAAAGGAGACCTTTAGAAATCAAGCATATTGTTAAAATTTGAATGCCATTTCAATTGCACATAGGCTGAACTGTAGTGCGTGAAATATTGATGGAGTGCATATATTAGAAAAAGGAGACCTTTAGAATTTGAAATAACGTTTAAACAAAAGATTGTCTGCTCCTTCAATATTTAACGCGAATATTCCATTCTGTGTTATTTTAGCGGAACAAATTTCAATTAATTTGCAATGCATGCATAAAAATGCTCTGCTATAACGTTTTACGCATTCCAGGGCTCATTATAGGGAGTTAAAGCATTCAAATTCGAACATGCGGCACTAGCGCTTGACTTCAAAGGGTAGCCTTTTTTTGGGACACACTGTATACATGTTTACAAGTTACGAAATTACAGACACAGTTCAAAATATTACCCACGCTAAAAATTACAAAAGAATATTAATATAAAACACTTAACACTGCATGCTTGTCATTAGTGCCGTGTAATAAAAAGTTGAGTATTGAAATAGCTACTGAATACTACCCGTATAATAAAGCGACTGCTACGCAGGCTACAACTCGATTGGAAGGCTGTTCCATTTTTTTTGTGGTTGATACAGGGCCTAGTTATAGGAACAGCTTGCTTGCCCTCAAAGCGATTTTGGCCATCTTCGATGAAATTAACATTGCAATTAATCAAGCAAAATATACCACCACAGGTGGTATCTGTCGTATTACCCTTCTCCGCATTTTACCGGCCATGTTTCCCAAAGCAAGGCGAAGCTCGGAAACTAGTTACTAGTGTTGAGTATTAAATTGCTATATATTCTGAATTACAACAAATATTGACGGCGGCATGCCCTAACAAACTCATCGACAAAAAGTGACTTCGAGATTCTGCAAAATTCAGAACTCAAAAGTAATAAATTAAGATGTAACCAATAAATAATTAGAAAGCAATAAATTGAGAAACAGTGAATAAAGTAAAATTAATTACAGTAGCTGTGACCTGTGTGTATCATAGCTCTTACCTTGTAAATTACAGTGTCACTTGCCGTCACAAGAGTCCAAAGGTCAAATTATTTTAATAATCCTTTGCAGAGGCTTTTTAATTAATATGCCATAGATTTTAATTGAGCATCTCGCTCGATGGAACTAACAGTTGAAGTATTTTGTAGATGGGAATTTCAAACGGAAGAGTAGCTATATATATATATATATATATATATATATATATATATATATATATATATATATATATATATATATATATATATATATATATATATATTTTTTTTTTTTTAAGCCAGGAACAGCTGCGAAAGGCTAGCAGGAATCGAACCTTCGGTCCGAAGTTCGATTCCTGCCAGAGGGTGCAGGAATTTCCTTTTATAAAATAACATGTATATATAACGCGTGCTCTGATTGGTCGAAACCCGTGTTTGGATCAGGCCATCCAAACACGGAAATTTAATGTGCCTTCTCGAGAATTTTAAACTTTGTTGTTATTTTGTTATTTTATGCGCTTTTCTTAACTCTCGCAACATTCTCGCGTGTTTGGATCAGGCCATCCAAACACGGAAACCATAAAGTAATTGTATAATATACGGAAAACGCCTCATAATTTGCGGGTATATATAGCCCGCGTGTTTAACAATAGCAGTAGAGCGGAGCTGTGGAACAATTGTCCAATTATATTCGGTTGCAGGTTATTTTTTCAATTTTTAACTTTTTATCTCTATACCCGACAGTTATGGAAAGCAGGTGTTTTTGTATATTAATATTCTTCGGAAAATTTAATATACTAATAGTATATTTGTAGTTCTTAATGTGTGTGAATCCTGATGAGTTTTTACATTGGGAAAATAAAGCTTTCAATATATATATATATATATATATATATATATATATATATATATATATATATATATATATATATATATATATATATATATATATATATATATATATATATATATATACTTATATATATATATATATATATATATATATATATATATATATATATATATATATATATATATATATATATATATATATATATATATTATATATATTTAGAATAAACGAATATTTAGAATATATTTAATACGAATTTGGAATAAAAATTGCACCATATTCAAACAAGTGCATGATAAACGAAATTAGAGCAGCTATTATACATATACCATTCTCTTGGCTCGCGCAGACAAAAGGTTTGTCGTCGACAAGTATTTGTATATTCTGGAATTGCAACGAAACCAATTTCGTCGGTATCTGTGATATTAGAACAACCGCCTACTACACATCTATTCGGCAATTTTTCATTTTCGTGACTTTTATTTGGCTATTGCCTCCTCTATATGATGGTACATGCAATAGTATGTCAATATTAGTGAGCTAGACGAATTCCTGCTATTACGTCACACGCATTGTTTCGTCCCAGTCTCTTTTGCGCGGTTTTCAGATTTTTCACAAGGCCGAATTCAATGTTTAAACGGCAATAACTTTTACACTAAAAAAGAAATTTCGATTCTGTTTTCGAATTTCCATATATTTTGTATCGTAGATTTCGAAAATATAAACTCTCATTTTGTGACAGGGACACTTTAAACAACTGTTTTTGTAGCCATAGCCCTTCTATATGCGATTATTTAAGCCATGCGAGGCTCACTATTGTGTTGTGAATGCAGACCTGCAGTGCCGTATAAGTTAAGCTAACACAATGAATTTTTATTGAATTTGAAACCATTTTAGTCTTTTTTGTGCCATTACAATATGACTCTGCTAACTCTGTCAGTGCCGGTGAACAGTATAAGGATATTATCTTCTACTTGGGTGAATATTTGTTAACTATTAACTAAGTTATTTCTCAATTACTTCAGACTAGCTCTGTACAAAGGTTATTTCGACATCAGCTTTGAAATTATTTCTGGGTTCTGTCATTAGACATTATGTTATAAATTTGTATTGTCTGGCGAATCTTATAAAAAAACTATTTTAACCCACCTTGTAGTTATCCTCGCAAGAATAAGTGTCATTTTTGACAACAGGGAAAACATTGCAAGTCAACTTTAGCAGGAATTTGTGCGGCAGGTCAAAAATATTTGCGTAACGAGAGCAATTTAACAACGAATCCCGAAGAATCAGGTCAGAACCAGAACCAGAACCAGAACTAGAACAGTTCTTCTTGGCTTCATCGCACGTAGCTGCTATCTCCTTGCCATCAACCTCGACATATGCGTCTTTACAACGAAATGGGTACGCTGCTTTACAAAAGAATTTTGTCACGTCTTTACTGCATCTCTCACTCCACGAATGAAAATCACTTATCACCGAAAGTATTATTTTCCAGGTTTCTGAAAGGTCGGGAATGCTTGGATAGTAGTTGCTGAAATCTGGTATCTTATAGCCTAACGAACCCGAACACGCAGAAATGACGCTCGATGGATCTTTACATGGCTCAAACATGACGTAACCGTTTTCTGCCGCCAAGTCGTTATGCACTCTGAGGTCGTTATGCACTCGAGGAGACTTTGGAACGTTCACCTTGTCGTCTGAATCGAAAACGCAACTACACGCAATCACGCTTCTATACTTATATTGTCCGTAATGTGACTATTTCTACGTCATTGTTTGCATGCATGATTACTATATTCATCATATAGATCGCAATGGCTAATGATGAGGGCAAATTTACTTGTACCTGATTGGCTGAGACTACTCTGGTTGCCAGAGGTTCTCGTATCTTCCGCCCTATTCTTGCTCGTATTTATTTCACGCGGGGCGAAAAAAACCTCTGTTGGCACGCGATATAAATATCACTTTCATCTTCAGTTATAGGTAGACAACTTGTAAAACTGTTTTCAAATTTCGGTGACGTAATATTGAACTTCCGGTCGGCATTATGGAACATGTGCGAAGACATGGAGACATACGAGGTTCAAGAACTTGAATTAACAAGTAATCGTATAGTTCCTCGTAAAATTAAGGTTTAATTTCACTTGTGAAACTTTGAAAACACGCGTGAAATTAAATCGTAATTTTACTCGGCTCTTTGCGATTACCTGTACAAATATGATTAATCATGTGTTATATATATTCCCACTCTCTTTCTGGAGCTTATTCTGGACTGGGGGCTAATGAGAGGCTGCAAGAATATCGAAGTGAAACAATAAAATAAATACCCTCACAAGTATACGTGCCACTGTGAATCAACAATTAATCTACATGATATATAACACAACAACCTTTAAATATGCAAACAAAACTAATATCAATCCATGCAGATAAACTACAACTATAACTCGATAATGCATTAACAGTCCATGCGAATCAACTAAAAGTTCTTGCCCAGAACGGTAACAAAACAATTCAATGCAAAAATGCTTCATAACGTTAAAGCCGTGCCAAATCTATTTTACTCAGTACACTATACAGTCTAATCTTAATAAAACAATTTTGTGCAAAAATGTTCCATAATGTTCAATCCCTGCTTCGACGTGACGTTTTTCTTGAAGGTATAGCAGCTAAAACTATAACAAAATGTATCTTCTATCATGCAAGGATAAAAGCCTTGTTTGAAAAAACTTCCTTTGAAATGAAAATAAAAAGTCTAACAGTTTCATCTGTCATAGACAAGCTTACTTGGGAATAATTGAAGTCGAAACTAATAGTGTGGTCCTATTTAAAGACTCTCACTGCGTGCTTGCGCCGGTTGACTATTGCGATGAGTACATGGAAAAGAGCCTTAGGCCCGTTTACACTCGCAATTTTTGATGTGATTTTTAGTGCGATTTTCTTCTGCCAGTGGATGTGATGGAGTAGATGAGTTGTGAATGTTCTGAAGAATGATGTGTTCCCTCATCTGAACATTTACATCTTCCCCAGTCGTTCAAATATATCAGAAGAAGAAAATCGCAGCAAGAATTTGAGTTCAGTTATTTCCAACATCGCAATCTCGTACCACTTCGCTGAAACTTGATGGTCAAGAAATATCAATACTTAGCTTGACTGTACACGGGACATGATTGGAACTTGGTCATGGTCAAAAACTTGTTTAACCTCAAAAAACGTGTTTAATTAATTAAATTTTCTGCCTAACTGCTTTCCTGGTTAGCTGCTACTCGTCATGAAAAACGTTTATTCTATATACCTAGAAGAAACTTGGATTGACAAGGGTGGCAAAGAACAAAATTGTGCTGAATGCCATGGCTGGACCAGCTGCTTTATTGTCGTAGACATTATCCAGGGAATATTTCTTTGCTATTGTACCATCTGGTAAGCTGTCACATGCACTGTGGGATGTCTGTATCAAGTTGGCATTATTTGTTTTGTTGACACTACATTTGCAAGAAAATACAAGTTACTATATGTAGTGTGCTAGATTCAGCGTCTTGGAAAATAAAAGTGCTGACGAACGCCTTCAGAAACTGTGTTATACTGTATAACACAGTTTCTGAAGGCGTTCGAAAATAATGCTGACGTCAGCACTTTTATTTTTCTAGACCGCAGTATTGTAATAATGATATAAACAACATATAAAACTTCCAGTATTGCAACTGAAATTCCTGGAAATTGAACGGAAACCTGCATAAGTCCCATTGAATGGACCATTCCCCAATTAACCAAAATTTTGAACTCAACAAGTCTAGACAAAAATTTCATCACAGCTTGAAAGAGCATCACAAAATTAGTAATATTCCAAAGTTTCGTTGCAAAATGTTGTAAAATGCGGATAATATAGCCTTGCGAAGTTTGCAATTTTCTGCAGTCATTTTAGATTACAAACGGAAAATGGTTACCACTTCTGTGCGTAATACAAAATGACTGAAAATTACAAACTTCGCAAGGCTATATTATCCGCATTTTACAACATTTTGCAACGAAACTTTGGAATATTACTAATTTTGTGATGCTCTTTCAAGCTGTGATGAAATTTTTGTTTAGGCTTGTTAAGATCAAAATTTTGCAAAAGTGGTAACCATTTTCCGTTTGTAATCTAAAATGTCTGAAAATTGCAAATTTCGCAAGGCTATATTATCCGCATTTTACAACATTTCGCAACACAACTTTGGAATATTACTAATTTTGTGATGCTCTTTCATGCTATGATGGAATTTTGTCTAGACTTGTTGAGATCAAAATTTTGGTTAATTGGCAATATAGCCATTGGAGTACCAGTGACGTATTTACATTGATCTGAAAACTAGGACTGGATAGTGAATCCGCTAAGCATAAATGGGGCCAATGGCGGCCATATAAATTAGTGTGACCACCACCGAAATTTACTGTGGTTTTGCTGACATGTTACACGGCTAAAATCGCACAGGTTGTTGCAAGTTGATATCGACAGGCGTGAACAATGTTGTGCGGCCAACTATATATATGAACAAGTTGTCAACCATGTTGTTCCAACTTCCAAGTTGTTACAGTTGAACAATGCTGTAACAACATGTTGACAATACTGTTCATAGTGGGCCGCACAACCTTGTTCACGCCTGTCGATATCAACTTGCAACAAGTTGTTGATTTTCTCAATTTTTACGCGTGTAGAAGAGACTATCTATTGTCTCATTATCTAGTAGCGTATTAAACGTTCTAAAAGTTGTTGCAAGATATGCTGGAAGCTATATCTTTTGAAGTAATTGACAGATTTAAAAATCACTTCTCATTGATAAATATTCAGCTTCAAAATTGGCTCATTGAATTCAAAAGGATCCTCGCACAGATCAGTGGGTATTTATTGTACCAGGGACGTAAGCACCAACTGCTGTTGGGACATTTCGTCATACGATACTCACCATCCAACAATTTTACGACAATCTTGCTTGCTGAGGAGGGATACGATCTTTGTCTGATCTTTGGAACAAGCAGGAATTGAAACTTTACACACTACGTCAGCAAGATTCTTTTCACATTCAGCATCGGGTATGTTGGAATTCTTCAACATCATATGAACAAATGCGATCCTGTTCGCTGCCATGTTCAACTCTGTCACATTTTCACTATATACCTAAAAAGTAGCAACCATTTGCATGGCAATAAAGATTTTGTTGCTTCCTGCTCTTAGACGAAATAGCTAAATGGGAACATCGGCAATTTCGCGGGAATTTTCTGGTCACGTGCATGACTGCGTGGCAAAGGCTTTTATCAATGGCTTTTATTTACGATTCTCGTTTAACACGCGGGCTGTATACCGTGAAAATGTAAGACACTTATCCCTATGCATTCCTTAATTATGCATCCCTTAATTTGAAAACAATTTTCCAGTGGCAATGTGTACCACGCGCTCTCTTGGCTCCGCAAAATTTAGACTGGTTCAGATTCGTTTATCGCGGAATTAAACCTCTAAGTCACTAAAGGCCATGTTACACGGTGCAATTTTTCTTGCAACTTGCAATGCAATTCTACTCTTGAGAGATCTAAAATTACCAAATACGAGTCTTCATTACACTCCGCTGATGTTTTCTCAACATATCGAAAATTCTTCACAGATTTCGCTAATTAACATCTCTCAAGAGTGGAATTGCATCATTTGCAAGTTGCAAGAAAAAATGCACCGTGTGACATGGCCTTGAGACGTTTCTTTGACTTTGTTTCACAGTACAGACCTCACGCTCGGTCAATAAGCCGTTAATATTGTTATTCTAATGAGTTTCCAAACCATCTATTCTATTAACTATGAGTCAACATAAACACTTAGAAAGCGTTCTGATTCCTTATGATATGATCATATATATGAATGATCATATGGCTAAGCTGAAACGACTTTAAATTGGGGGCGAAACGACTTTGAGTTGGGGGCGAAACGAACAGTCTCGATCTCCTCTGGCACCGGCGAAGCAAGACAAACGTTTGCTATTTCTCAGCCAATTTTCATCCAAATTTAACCATTATTTAATCAACTTGTCCTTGGGCAATGTCCATTAGTTCACTAATTTTCGTATCAGTGACGTTGATATTTTTAACACTGTGTCTAGATGCCCAGCAGTCATTATAGTACTCATAAATCATAATATAAATAACTCCTATATCATTTCAGCAATATAAAAAGGTTATTTTGCAATGAATTTCAGCGAGCTGGTTAGCTCAGCGGCAAAACCATGCGCCTTATAAGTATAATGTACTCGGAAAATTTTACTGACGCAGCCTATGGCTATGCCCAAGGGTAATGCATGTAAACTTCAGATCGGCATTAATGTCGATAATGCAGTACATTCTCATTAGTTATTTTTCACCCTGCTCGGTTTCCTTTGTTCTTAGCGGGGAATATATTCAATATTCCACTCTAATCAATTTCCGTTTAATAATCCCCTCTAATATTCACCTGCAATTAATAATCCCCTCTAATATTCACCTGCAATGTCTTTGCCGCACAAAAAATGAGAAAAAACAACATCGCGAAGGCAATATGGCATTAAGAATTATTTCTTTTCTGACTCATTAACCCGACCTCGCAGTGTGAAAAATAAGTACGTTATTTTGAGGCACCTCGGGGATATGTGTTTATTCACCTCGGCGTTGCGCGCCTCGGTGAATAAATCACATATCCCCTCGTTGCCTCAAAATAACCTATACTTATTTCGCATTCATTCAGTGTACACAGGCTACTTCGGCCACTGTACTTCGGCCTTAAAATGGAAACATTTCAACCTACCTTATAGTTAGCCTCGCAAGAATAAGGGTCATTTTTGAGAACAGGGAAAACGTTGCAAGCTAGCTTTCGTGGAAATTTCGTTTGCAAGTTAGTGTCATTGGCAAGGCTAGAGCAATTGAACAACGAGTTTAAACTGGAACAGTCTTTTCTGCCTTCGTCGCATGAAGCTTCTAACTCCTTGAGATCAATCTCGACATACGCATCTTTGCAACGAAATGGGTATGCTATTTGGCAAAAGTATTTCGTTCCGGCTTTACTGCATTTCTCGCCATGTAAACCAAAAACACTGACAATGGAAGGAATATTGTTCCTGACTGTTGAAAGATCGGGGGGATTTGGAAAGTTGCTAAAATCTGGTATCTTGTAGCCTAACGAACCCGAACACGTAGAAATGGCGCTCGATGAATCTTTACATGGAATATCTGGCAGCTCAACCACGATGTAAGCGTTTTCTGCCGCCAAGGTTGTATCAACTGCGAAACAAATGTAAAGGATTACCACTGAACTGATGATCGAATACATGTTTGTGTTGAAATGGTCGATATGCCTTCTGAGAAGACGTTGGAACACTCAGCTAGTGTGTTTTGGTCAATGCCGGTTTGACACACCTTGTTGTCTGAATTGTGAAAATGCTGGCAGGTGCAATGACGCTTCTACTTATTCATTGTCCGCAATGTGATTGCAATCAATCCACAGGGGGCAGAAAAGTACGATTGTGTTTATTTAAAATACCTTGTCATCAACCAATATATCGCATAGTTTCATCCAGGTTTCATCACGATGAAAATTATGTTGATTTTCGATAATATCATGCCTACTACTTCATGTAATTCAAACATTGTATTACAAGGACTGACCATAGTAGCGTGGGCTCATACTAGAACGATTGACTTTGCTTACACGTACAAATAATAGAAAGGGATGAAACCCCCGATCGCGAAATATTTCGAATGGATATAACTGGCGTGTTTCTGAACCAAAACCTTTTATTTTTTGTATACAGTTTAGATATGATACACTTAGCATACCTGTACAAGGAAATTTTTAGAAACGGTTATTATACCGAAATTTTTGGGACTACAATTTTGGCTTATTTTGTTTCAACGTGCACCGCAACAGGTGGTGACGGAAGTGACGTAGTTACGCACTTAAAAGATATTGCGCATGACGCAAACTATTTTTCCAACTGATTTATATTATTAATCATATTTAAATATATGACAAGCTCATACAGTATTCTTATGATTAGTATACAGCCTGGTATACAG